TTAAAATGCTTTTTTTAATATAGGGAGAGGTGGGAGGTTGTGTTTGTGTTCATTTTCAGCAAAAATAGTTTACAATTAAGACAAAGTGAACAAGAACAACAACAGAAAAGACCTCCTGAACTTGGTGACCTCCAACGCCTCGCCAAGCTCTAAGCTCCTTAATTCAGAAGCTCTAAACTTAAAAGCAAATAAAACAAGCTGGGCTTGGATGTCGGGGAAGGATGAGCCTGACGCTAACAGGTAGAGCCAGCCTGGGCCCGGCAGGGGTTAGAGCCAGCCTGGGCCCGGCAGGGGTTCAGTCATGCTGGGGGATAGCAGAGCCTGTGGGTCTTTAAGGCCACAGGGACTCTTCTGTCTGTAAGTCAATGCAGCAGTTAGGCTGCCTTGAATTCTCTGACTGGGGCTAGAGTTGTTGGTAGAGTGCCTTCCCAGCAGGCCTGCGTTTGCTCTCCAATGCTGTATAAACTGGGTGTGGTGGCCCATGCCAACAATCCTGGCACTCAGGTAGGGGCAGGAGGCTCAGAAGTTAAAGGTCATCCTTGGCTACATAGGGAGTTCAAGGCCAGCCTAGGATACTTGAGATCCTGTCTCTTTAAAATAAAAGAACCAAAAAAATTCTATATCTAATGAAAGTATTATATATATATATATATATATATATATATATAGAGAGAGAGAGAGAGAGAGAGAGAGAGAATATGTAGAGAGATGTATAGAATTATTTATATATGTATATAATTCTATATCTATATGAAGAGTATCAGCAAGCCACTTGTGCTTTCTTTAGGAACTGCTGCAGATCTCTTCCCCACTTTCCTTCTAACTAATTATATCTGTAAACAAAGAATATAAGTTAACACGTTAAAATGGTTGTGTTTGAGTTGGATGTGGAGTGCATGCCTGCAGTGCTAGTACTGAGGCGTCTGAGGCAGGAGGATTGCAAGATCAATGCCTGCATGGGCTGCAGACTATGGCCTTGTCTCAGAGGACCAGAGCCCCTTGCCTTTGCATGGCAAGGACCCTGGCTCCCTCTCCAGCACGGAAAACTCTGATCTTGTCATCATGCACAGCCATCGGCAACCCTTTGCCCACGGGTGTCCAAACAGGTGACAACTGGGTGTCAGTGGGAACCTGAGAAAACCATGGAGATGTTTTCAGTCTGGCCTAATCAGACTGGCATTTCTCCCTTTGGGGTCAGCACTCAGGTCCCCATAATCAGCCTGTGGCTTACTGGCACCTAGGGCCGACCCACCTGATGGCTTGTACCTGCCTGGGCCCACCTGGACGCTAAGTGGTTGGGATGAAGGATGAGCTAGCTGTCCCTGGGGTTGAAGACAATGGGGTCTTGGGCAGAGCAGGGCAAGTCAGGGACAGGAGCTGGGTATAAATAGCCCCTTCCCAGCTGGGCAGGCCTGGCAAGCCCTCTGTCCTCCCCCTCACCAGCTGCCAGCACCAGCCATGCCCTACCTCCTTTGGGAGCCCGGCCATCATCTCAGATCCTTCACTGTAGGAAGTCCCTCAGCGGAACTGAGGAGTCTTGTCCTGTGTGTGGGTGCAACCTCCGGCTGCCTAGAACCTGCTGAGTGAGGGCATCAGGCCGTCTCCTTGGGGTGTCCTCTATTCCTTGCCTGGAAGGCGAGTATGCTAGTGTCGGTGTAGGGGAACAAGAGGAGACAGGACTCTGGGTGCCATGCTGCAGACAAATTAGCCCGTCTCCTTTGGTGAGAAGGGGAGAACGGGGTGTAGGAACACTCAGACTAGGGAGGGTTACTTCTGCCTGGGAGCCCATGCAAGTCTTTAGAAGTGATTCAGGATAAGTTTGCCTTGGGTATGGGCTGCAGAGAGGCACTCAGGTGGAGGGCTTGGTGCATGCAAAGGCTGTGAAGCAGTTTCAGCTGGCCTCAAGGCAAATCTAATCAAAGCCTCTCACACTGGGGAGAGAGAGAAGAGAGGGAAGCTCTCTTGTTGACTCTCCCAGGGGGACAAGTTCTTCTGTAATGGGGACAAGAAGTGGGTTACACTGATATGTCTGCAACGATGGAATGTCAGCCATGCTGCGTGGGCATGGCTCAGGGCCGGCAGGGCATGTCTGGGAGGGCAGCTGTCCCGCAGAATTCAATCCCAAGGCCACAGCCTCGGGAGCCCAAGGCCGTCCGAAGATCTGAGTCCTGTCCTCAGAGGCCCTGGCTGATTACCACAGGATGTCCAGATAGATCCCCCTGAGACCTTTGACTGGAGCATCCTGGAAATGTTCCCACTGCCTTTCGGTTAGCTTGAACATCCATCCAAGTCGGCTCAGCCTGTCAGTCGCAGAGGGATTTTCTCGGCCAGCCCTGTCAGGGTTGAGGGGTCTCCACTCTGTCCTGAGGCCTCCCTCTCAAGGTTTGATGGGAGGTGGCTTTAGAAATTCTGATGCATTGTATTAGGTCAGGGAAATGAAGATGGGAGAAGTGAGGTTGGGGACAGGACAGGGACAAAGTACTGAGGGCATGGAGCCTGAGGTGGCCACCAATTCTGCTGTACCTGCCTCTGAGCTGTACACCCTTACTTCTCCTGGGAGGTCTATCTTACAGAAGAAGAAAGTGGGCTGTGGAGAAGTTGAGGAAGCCACTTGGATTGGCAGCTTGAGATAGAGAGAGCTGGGGTAAGGGAGGTTTGCGGGGAGCAGGCAATGTAAGTCATGGTGGCAAGCTATCTACACTGAACTCTCGCTAGTTCCCTTCCCTCCATTTTCTTCTCTGTGAAATGGGGTGACAGTGATGAGGACAGTTTCTCCCTCACAGACTAGTTGTGACGATTAAATAGGTTAAAGACAAACAGAGCCACACTCAGCCCAGGTCAGATTCATAATACACGCTGGGCGTTTTCACTGGGCTCCTTTCAAGGCTTCGTGGGCTGTTGCCTCCAGCCCCTAGATTCACCATTGTCTCCCACTTAGGCATGAGCCCTCCAGGGTATAGATAGGCCAAGCCTGAAGCCACCTTAGCATCTGGGGCATTACCCAGGAGGGGCAGAGCCAGATGAGTCTACTTTCTAACAGTAGTTAGAAACTCTGTGGTCTGGGCAGCTGGTAAAGCTCCCACTGTGTGCTGGGTTGTTATCAGGCAACTCAAGGGAGGGGCACTTAGTGAGGGGAGTTGGTAGTTAACATGACAGTGTGACATAGATGCTTCAGTGGGTACCACATTCTTTCTCTCTCCCGTTCTGCCTTAACGAGACAGTCTCTTGTAGCCCAGGCTAGCTTGCAGCTCCTGATCCTCTTGCTCACAAGTGTTGGAATTACGGGAAGGCATGACCACATTCCTAGCTTTTCCTTTTCCAAAAAGCACTGGCTGGGGTGGAGAGTCCACGGGGAGATCACTTGCCCAGCATGCCCGAGGCTGTGAAAGGTGGTGCTCCTCAAGCCCACGAGTTCAAACCCCCTAGTTCTGCTCCCTCACCCCCAGTCTCTCTTCCCAGTCAACAAACGGGAAAACCTGGAGTTCTCCCCCCCCCCCCCCAACTGAGGTGAGAGGTTGCTGGGAGTTACCTCGTTGCCCTGGAGTGTCTGAGCTGAGCAAGGCTCTGAGCGTACAGTGTGGGGGAAGGCCGTTGGGGAGGCAGCTCAGACAGTACTCTGATTGGCTAACTACCTGTTAAGAAGCCTGGGGCAAGCTAGTTGTTTGTTTGTTTTCTGTAAACCCTGGTTCTTATTTTGTCTTTTTTTTTTCTCCCAGAGCTGAGGACCGAACCCAGGACCTTGCGCTTGCTAGGCAAGAGCTCTACCACTAAGCAAAATCCCCAACCCCAAACCCTGGTTCTTTACCAGGGGACAGAGATGATTAAAAAACTGGTCAGGCCTGTTGCTCCCAAGTGCTGAGCAGCTAGAGTCCATCAGTGGCGACTGTTAGGTTCACCCATGTCCAGCCAAGGAGGCTTTTGTGTGCTTTCTTCTGACCCACTCTAGAACCGAACACCAGGCTCTCTCTCCAAGACTCCTGCACCCAGGACCTGACCTCAGCCAGTGCCTATGTCCCTTTCTTCCAGGACACTGCCCTTTATCATGGGCCTGGCCACAATGGGCTGTGACGTCCCCTGAGACCCGCAATGTCATTTCTGCTCTCCCTTTCTTGGGAAGAGGGAAGGAAAGACTAGAGGCTCTGACAGTACCTGGATTTTTCTACATTATTTAACACCCCCCCCCCAGTACTTCCCAACACTATAAAATCCCAAGGTTTAAACAGTAGGGGGTGGAAGAATGGGCTGTCTTGATTGAAGCAGCAGCATTGGAGGAAATGCCTGCTGAGGTTTCCCTTTTGCTCTTGAGCTATACTAGTCATGAAACGGCACCTCTGTCCCTGGTGAGAGGGAAGGTGGTGCCTAGAAATTTCTAGGGAACTATAAAGATGGTGATGGGGGGGCTTGATGCCATCAGAGACAGACAGGCTCTTGTGGGAGAGAGAGCGAGAGAGAGGGAGGGAGGTACAAGCTCTGCTAAGACTTGTTCGTCTGTTTTTCCCCCCCTAAGATAGAGCTGGAGTCACAATGGCCTCCTCTGCTCCCTTTGTCCTTTATGTTTGGATTCCTTCCCACACATGGCTGTTCTTCTCCACAGGGCCCATGAATACGGGAGTCCCTGGGAGATGGCTCAGCTGGAGTCCTGCAATTCCCACCTCAGAACTTGATCTCGGCCCCAGTCCTACATTCCCAACCCAGGGCTATTTTCATGACACAGTACAAGTCCACAGAGCCCCCCCCCTCGCCCGCAGAGGCTGTGCTGCTCCACCCACCCTGAAAGTCAGACGTGCCCATGTCAGAGGGACGCTGCCTAAACCAGTGCTGTGCCCTCTGTGGGGCACCGTGTCCCCAGGGAAGTCAAAAGCAGCATGTGAGGTGCCAGGCTTGAGGGCCAGCCGTGGGTCATACCACCCCCACCCCACTCCACCGTCTGTGAAGAAATGACATCCATGCTGGGCCACGTGTTCTGTGTCTACAGTGCCATCCCCATTGTCTGCCCACAGGTCCCTGGCCCTGGGCCAGCAGTACACATCTCTGGGCTCCCAGCCTCTGCTCTGCGGCTCTATCCCAGGCCTGGTCCCCAAGCAACTGCGCTTCTGCCGCAATTACATTGAGATTATGCCCAGCGTAGCAGAAGGCGTGAAGCTGGGCATCCAGGAGTGCCAGCATCAGTTCCGGGGCCGCCGCTGGAACTGTACCACCGTAGACGACAGCCTGGCTATCTTTGGGCCTGTCCTGGACAAAGGTACTTGCCTGGGGCTGGGTTGGGAGGTGCTGGGAGGGGTGGTGGGTGGGAAGGGTCCCAGGTCCCTGCCCCCTTCCTCCTGCCGTGGGAAACTCGGAGTCTAAGTTCTCCCTAGAAGGGTAATAAAGCTGGTGGAAAGTGGGTGGGATCCACCCCTGGACAGACCAGGCTGTCTCCACGTCATCTGCATCTTTTCCAGTGCGGCAGGGGGTGGGGAGCCCTGAGATGCCCTGGGGTCCCGACACTGGAGGGCAGGGGGCAGGCACCAAGGAGCCCAAGAGCCTTCCATCCCGGATGACCCAGCGGGGGCCCGGGCTTTGATGTGGACATGTGTGACATTTCCCTTATGCTGTGTTAAGTGCTATGCAAATACAGCTTTGGGGCGGGGGGGGGGGGGGGGCCGTGCCAGGCCTAGGTAGGTGTTCTGCCATGGAAAAGTCTCCACTTTGCCTGGTGCCGGTAGCACCGCATGGCCTCCAAGGGTACCCGTTCGTTTCCTGTCCTGAGAGCAAGACAGGTCCATAAACTCTGGTGGCCCGCGACTCCCTCTCGGCTATCCTGAGACCTGGAGGTCTAACCTGCTGGGACCCCAGCATGAGGTGTAGGGGAAGGGAGGAATGAACAACTGCTCCTAAGAAGGAGACCTTGGCTCCAGAACCCCTTGTGTCCAGGAACTTAATGACCCTAGCTGGGCTGGCCTCCACTGGAGTTCTGCCAGCGATTGGGGAGAGCCCGCTCTTCCTCTGAGAAGAAATTGGTTAAAGCCGGATTCACAGCCAGGAAGAGGAGGGGTCCGAGAGCCTGCTGACGGGGTGGGCGCAGAGTTTGGGAGAGGGGAGGCTGACTAACCCCTATCGGAGAGACAGCCCCCCCCCCCCCCCCCTTTTTTTTTCTTTTACCTGTGCTTCAAGTGCAAAGGGTCTGTACGACCTACGAGCCAAAAAACGCCGGCTATTGTCACGGGACAGGAGGGCAATTAGCAAATCAATGGATGATGATTCTGTTTACGCTTCTATTACCAAAGCTAATTATTCCT